CTCCCCCATTAAACACTCCCAGGACAGGTACAATATAGAATTAGATACAGAGTAAAGCTCCCTCTATATTATCCCCAGCAAGCACTCCCGGGACAGGGACAGCACGGGGTTAGATACAGAGTAAAGCTCCCTCTACACTGCTCCCCATCAAGCACTCCCACGACAGATACTAAAGCAAGCAAAATGGTACAAGTCAAGGGCTGAACCTGGTTGGAAGGGGAGCAGGAGTGAATGGGCAGCAGGGGGTCCCTGAGATGGGACAGTGGGTCTGTTTCTGTCTCTACAGTCACCAACACAGGAGCAGATTGCACCGGAGGCTAATGAGCCCTTAAGCAGCTGTATCTGAGCAGGGAAGCTCCTGTTACAGAGAGGGGAGAGCTGCCCAAACTAAATCAATGCTTCTTGCAAATGAGGAATCAGATTGGTTTTAGATGAAGGTTAAGGTGAAGTGTTGGGAGGGGTGAGTCAGGAAGCAAGAGGATTTAGGGAGGAAGATTATGAGGATTCACCTTTAGAGATCAAGATCACAAACACATAAAAAACCTGCTCACCACATTTTATAAATTAAATTCCCTTACAAACATCCAGCTTCAGAATCAGGTGTATGTCAGGCATTATTTCAGTGTAAACAAACTAACTGTAATGGCCTCAATGAAACCTGGCCCAGGTTATCCAACGCTTTGCATGAGTGACCCTTCTTAAACAGAGATATCCAGAGTCAGCGTGTGCACTCGGCTCATCAATTACTTGCTACTAGCCCCTTGTGCTATGCAGCTTTTCCCAGCTCAATCTTCTTCTGTATAGCACGGGCAGAGTGATAGATCAATGAATCAATCAGGCTTGCCACTGCAAGAAAGACAGCAGTTATCGGAAGGACAGTCCTGCACACATGGAAATAAACAGTTTATGAAGGAATGTTAATGCCGCCTGTGTGCTCATATACCTGTACATGCCTGTGTCTATAGTCAATATACAAAGGAGGTTCCATATACGAGGATAGCATTTAGTGCCAATCCCTCATTATCTCGATGAGGTGGTGATGAGCTGTCTGTGCCTTGCTAGACCATGCCAGAGGTTCTGATTACATTTCAACCTGAAGTCACATGTAGACTGGACCGGGTAAAGTTGGAAGGTTGATAAAGGACATTACTGAATTGAATTGGTTTATCCAATCAGTTTTATAGTCACTATTACTCTTATTTCCAGAATTCCTTAATTAATCAAATATCAGGGTGAGATTTGAACACATGCCTGGAGTATTAGTGTAGGGCTCCAGATTATTAGTGCTGTAACATAAGCACCATTCTATCTTGCCTGGAATACTGTGGGAGCATGAATGTATGTAATTGAATGAGGCAGCGTGAGAAGACACCGTGTGTGTGTGCAAGAGAGAGTGCAAGATAGAGGGCGCACGGGAGAGAGAGAGAGAGAGCAAGAGACAGTGGGTGCGAGAGCGAGTCCGAATGAGAGCGAGAGTGTGACTGAGAGTGCAAGTGTGATAGCGAGTGCAGCAGGGAGAGTGAGTGTGAGTGAATACAAGAGAGAGCGAGAGACAGTGGGAGAGACCGTGAGCGCATGAGTGAGAGTGAGGGCGAGGGAGGGTGAGGGCGAAGGAGGGTGAGCGTGAGTGGGCATGAAAGAGCATGAGAGAGCACAAGAGTAAGTGAGCATGAGAGAGAGATGAGTGATACAGTGTGACAGTGAGTGTGACAGTGAGAGTGAGTGAGCGCGACAGTGAGAACGATAGACCATGAGAGAGAGTGAGTGCGAGAGCATGTGAGAGAGTGCGTGCGAGCAAGAGTGCGAGTGAGAGCAACAGTATGAGTGAGAGAGTGTAGTCGAGTGCGAGTGTGACAGTGAGTGTGAGGAGATTGAGTGTGAGTGAGTGCGAGACCGAGTATGAGTGTGAAAGAGAGTCAGAGAGACAGAAAGAGACAGCGAGAGTGAGCGAGCGCAAGCGTGAGCACGTGTGACAGTGAGAGACAGTGCGAGAGAGAGTGCATGAGAGCAAGAAAGAGCAAGAGTGGGTGAGAATGCAAGAATGTGAGAGTGCGTGTCAATGTGAGAGTGTGAGGGTGAGGCAGCACACAAGGGGAGGGAGTATGAGTGGAGGAGTGAGAGAGGAGGAGGGATTTTTATTGAGAGCGGGAGTGTGTTTATGAGTAAGTGAATTATTGTGAAAATTTGTGTGTATCAGTGACACCATGGGTGTGTGAGAGGGCATGTGTGTGAGAGATAGGGTGTCTGCCTATGTGTGTGTGTGTGTGTGTGTG